TGAAATACAGAAATACATCCGAGCACAACAGAAAACAAGTACAATCAACAAAACTAAGTATGACATGAACGTACTGAAGCGCTTTTTACAAGAATGTGGAGAAGAAAGAGAAATTGAGAATATCCCTCCGCCTCAACTTGACAGTCTTCTTTCCAACTTTTACATAAAGGCAAAAAAGAAAGACAATACTTTGTACGAACCTGATACAATGTCGTCCTTCTCAAGAAGTATCGAGCGATACCTCGACGATAAAAATGCAAAAGTAAACATCTTAAAAGATGAAGAGTTTAAGCTTTCCAGACAAGCCTTGATGTTCAGACGACGAGAATTAAGAAAAGAAGGCAAAGGAAACAAGCCAAATGCTACTGCTCCTYTGACAAGCAAAGATATTGATGCTATTTTTAATGAAAACGAGTTTGGAGTCCATGATCCAGAGATCCTTTCCCGTACTATGTGGTTCTTGCTTACTTTGCATTTTGGTCATAGAGCACGACATGAAGCGAGACAGCTGCTGAAGTTTGGAGACGTACTTTTGAAGAAAGATGAAATAAATGGCGAAGAGTATGTAGAGTGGTTCCAAGAAAGAGAAACTAAAACCAGACACGTCGATGAAAATGAGCACCAGAGAGCTTTCCGACCAAGAGCTTATGAGAGCGGCGACAAGAAATATCCTGTGGCCTGCTATAAGCAGTTTGTTTACAGGCGTCCCGAAGAAGCCAAAAGTCCAGAAAGTCCGTTTTTTCTTGCTATAAACCATAGAAGGAGGCCAAATGATCAAGTGTGGTTCCTAAATGGACCGATGGGAAAGAACAAGATTGGCGAATTCCTGTCTCAAGCAACAAAAGATTTGAAGTTCACGAAGTCAAAAGCCGGTAAAATTACCAACCCTTCCGTACGTAAAACTGGTATCACAACCCTCCTGGATGCTGGTGTTCCACACAACATTGTGGCTCAACTGAGTGGCCATAAGAGTCTTGACAGTTATGCGGTTGCCTCTGAGAGCCAACAACGAAACATGTCGAAGATACTGAGTGGTGTTGAGAACGTCAAGCACGAAGCCAGCAGCAAGCAATTATGTCTCGGCGCAACGGACTACAAGTTCAACTGCCGCTGCAGGTTCTTTGTTTGGGGGAGCAAACATTGGAGTATTGAACATTCAGAATCTTGTTCTTTCAGGCCATGAAGAAAGCTGTAGTTCGTGCCTGGTCAAACCCAAGAAACGTCGTTTTATGATCGAGTCAGATGAAGAAGACTAAAAGTCTAAAAACGTTGAAATTTGTCCATGAAAACACTTAGAGTTGACATATACATTCTTGAGTTCCCAAGCTGCTATTTTCCCCCGACTTTTGACCAAATAGCTATTTGCGAAGTGTAGTAAGAACCTTATTAGAACCTTCAATGGTATTAAAAACAATTTTACTTCTTGAAATGTGCCTCGTGTTTACAGTGACTGTTAAATGACTTCTTTTCAATCAAATAAAAAGGAATTCTCCTATTGGTTCTCGTTTACGCGCGCTGTATTTATCAAAGTCTAGCAAGATCTTTCAGCCTTTTTTTACGATAAAAGTTGGGTCATATGATAAAATGCTTATTGACTGAGTTGGGTCGGGCCGGACGGGAAAATATTTGGCTCTTGGTCATTTGTACGGACCTCGCTGCGCTCGGTCCGTACGACATCACCTCGAGCCAAATATTTTCCCGTCCGGCCCGACCCAACTCAGTCAATAAGTACATAGTTTTCAATCTTCTTGAAAAGTAGTTAGGCTTATATGAAAGAAATAAATATATTAATGAAGAGTTAGGATAAGAAAGCTATTTTTTAACTGATGACACATTTGGCTTTAACGTTCAGGGCCTTACTTCTCGAGTTTAGTTAGTTTATGATCTCCAGCCAATTTTCTCTCTGATGCTACCAAATCTTTTATTTTTTTATTTTCATTGTGGTAAAAATACATTTCATATAAAAACATAAAAATTCTTATGAAAAACCAAACATCGTAGTAAGCTTATTTTTTGCTCACCTTAACCAGTTTTCGAGTCCGTTTTTCAGTCTTGATTTGTCCTAAATCTCCAGTTTTTCGATTTCAATGAAAGACATCCGAGGTAGTTATCTTTCGTTTTTCTTCAAGTAAAAGAGATTCAAAGCCTAAAAATGTCGGCCATGGAAAACTTTGTCGAAGAATCTTCCAAGAACAAAACTAGCCCGTGGGGGTGGTGGTGAGTTATGTACAAAATTCCTAAGTGGGAAAGTACACTCGCGTAAAGAAAACAATGTAGTGCATTTCGATTCGATTTCACTGCACGGTTTTTATTATGGGAGAAATTATCTTTATCTCGAATAAAAAATAATTGACGATTTTCCCCCCGATCTTATTTTTACCTTTCAGTTTCATTCAAATTGGGCTCCCTGTGACTTCCTTATCGGGAGCTCCGCTTTTAGGCAGTGCCTAAATATATATATTAAATGTCATTAATATAAAGCAAGAAGAGTAAGAGGCCAAGCACAGATCCTTGGGGAACCCCATAGGAAATTAATTCATTCTGACTTACATGGTAGTTCAATTCAACAGGCTGGGTTCGTCAGTACAGGTAGGATCTAAACCAATCATTACTTACACCTCTAATTCCGTAATAACTGAGTTTGTTTAACAAGATTGAATGATCTACTGTGTCAAAATGCCGTTTCTTCGTCTTTTCTAGATCACTGGTTCTTCCTAATGCCAGTTGGTCGGTGATAGTAACAGTGTGAATAGTAGTTCATAGACAGATAAGAATAACGTTTCTTCTTCTTGCAAACGGCAGACATATGACATGACACGAAAGGCCCAAGTTGGCCTTTCGTGTACATCCCAACTTATCCACTTATTCCACACATGGGCGTCAGCTCTGGATAAGGGCAAAACATCAGATGTTGTCTTTTTGGATTTCGAGAAAGCTTTTGACTCTGTTCTGCATGTTCATCTCATCTCAAAGCTACAGCAGTTTGCGATTAGTGGTCAAATTATTGAATGGCTGAGTGATTTCTTACATGAACGATATCAACGTGTTGTATTAGAGGGTGAAAGTTCGAACTGGACTAAGGTTTCGTCTGGAGTGCCCCAGGGAAGTTTTGTTCGACCGATGCGGTTTTTGTTGTACGTGAATGATATACCAGAGAATCTAATATGTGCCAGTGAAATGTTTGCCGACGACACACTATCATTCAACTCTAGCAAACCATCTGATGTCTCCCACTCTATCCAAGAAAGTTTATCGCGTATCTCTGCTTGGTGTAACAAATGGCTTCTGAAAATTAATGCCGAGAAATGCGAATGTATGCGAATCACCAGAGCTAAAACACCAACAAGGTCTCCTCACTTTTGAGTAGACGACCACAAATGCAGGGCAGGCGGATGCCCTCAGCATACTTCATTTTCGTGCGGCAGATCAGGTCGTAATTGTTGCTGAGTATGGTTAGATAGCCATTCTGCTTGAACTTAAGCAGCATTTCCCGCTGGTTGGGACTTAATACCCCCCTACCGTTAGGCGTCTTTAACTCAATGCAAAGGCCTCGGTAATCCTTATGGGAGTTAAGGATAAGCAGGTCAGGTTGACCGCCCTTATACCCCTTCTGCCAGGATTCATGACGTCTTTTGTACGTATCCTGTAGCTCCCCCAGATCGGGCGTAATGATCATCTCGGGGTAGAACCGGCGTATGTAGTCTACGACCTTCTCATGTAAGTCAAACTCGTTCTCAATCTTAAACGTCAACTTATCAGACTTATACTCATCCATAATGTACCTCCTCGTCTTTGGTAAGATTTCCTCCATAACCCAAGCTCGAAATTCAATTGCCTTGGGTAACGTAGAACTAAATATCAATTCGTAAAGACCAGGCTCGCTAATGAACACGGAATGTGGCTGTACGTTAAGGGGGATCCATTTCGTTCCCCCCTTTAGATCAGACCATCTTTTCTGGTACTTCGTAGGAACGTGGTCTCTAATAGCCTTACTTGTGTTTTCGTAATTCAACGCAACAGCCACCTCCTTTGCCTCGAAGTACGGTTGGTCGCCTTGCATTATGCAGTGCAGTTCAATGTCGCCATTGCGGAAGATGCGTAACATGGTATATCAAGAGGATATCTTAATATGCAACGCTCCTTAGCTGATTCATTTCTACGCTTAGCTGCGCGTCGCTGACCACAAAGACGTAACAGTTTATCTTGTCGGTGTTGCCTGCGGAGGCATTCTTTGTACGCTTGATTTCCAAAGTAATGCCGTCCTGGGTGTTTACCAGCCGCAGACCCCGACCATGCATGGTTTCGTCGTTGATGGTGCGCATATCGATCCACAGCGCATATTTATCCTTAAAGAATTCCTCAGGACTAATTTGGTCGCCAAACTTGCGCATTGCCTCCCTGTACACGTCTGCGGGCTTTATTCCCTGGGAGTAAACCTTGTTAGGTACTCCGTTGACATTTACCCCCACGTTAGTAATGCCGGGGTTATGAAAGGCTTCGGAGTTGCGTTTACCAGCCTCAAAGGGCTTAGCAAACACCAGCATTAGCCCCGTGAGGCTACGCCTGGGGAGGTTAATGCTTTGGTTAATAACCTCGTCCGTCTTATCCAGGAAGCTAAATGTCTTGTACATCACTACGTGGTCGTAWAGGAATGCCTTCCCRGCACTGTATTCCATGCCGGCGCTACGGGCCAGCTCTTCGCTGTAYACCGTCTCRTACTGCAGCTCTAAGTTGGTAACAGAATAGGGATCCACGGCCCCGCTAATTGCGGTGTCCATTCCCCCTAGGACGTTCGTAGTGTCCGCCAAGGTTACTTCGAACTGTAACTCACTTAGTTGCCTGGGGTAGTACACACCATGGTTAGTAACCACTTCAAAGTCCAATGGTATGACATACTTGCTACCATAGGCGGTTTTTACCCTCGTGGCATCTGCTACTGCCGTCGCGCCGCTGGAGTCGGTAGGCGCTGGGTTGGTTTCGCTGCGAAGCGGACGAAGAATAACGCTTCCGATTCCTTGTTATATCCTTTGCGCTCGGTCGAATGCAGTCAACCATAGGTCCTTGTAAGTAGCATACAGATCGTACCTATTTAAGTCCAACAAGGATTCTCCGGCGAACTTGATTCTCATATTGGAAACATAGTTGCGGCCTACGTTATTGACGGTATAGCGCTTGTCCTTGGTGTCGGGTTGTATTGTTAGGTCAAACCTTAGCGCTAACTTGCCAGGGACTAAGACTAGGTTATCCGTTAGGCGGGGTACGCCTACGTACAAAGTTTCTACTGGTTTTGCGCTGCTGGGTGTGAATGTGACCCGGTGAAAGGTGCGTTCTGCCTTTAGTCCACCAACCTGCTTAGGTAATACGTTGGAGTTTAACTTTGAGCTTATCATATATAATGGAAGTAGAAGGAACGGATTTTGACTCCACCACCGAAGAAGGCCAAGTCGACATTAACGATGAAGAATACGACGCATGGACCCAAGGCGCGGAAACCGACCCCCTAATCTACAACACGGCCCTAGAAAACAAGTATGGTAGCAGGTGGAAAAGCTTCAAGGCCTCCTTAAATCGCATGTGGCAATCAAAGAACCGCCGCAGCCCCGTCCCTGAGTACTTGGAGCTTCAAAATATGAACGAACAGGGGGCGACCGCGCGGGAAACCGTAGAGTGGGCAACTCAAGAGTTAAGGCAACGCTATCCCCGTTTCGAGGCTTACGACATAAGGCTCACAGAGCGCGGAAACAAAGTTCTTATAAGCGTCAGAGACATGAGGCATGCCGGGGCCAACAGTTGGACCAAACCACAAGTCCTTTTTGATGATACTGGATCAGTCAAGGTCAACGTGGAGAGATTAAGGGGCTTTCGAGAGGCTACCCGGAGTGCGTTAGAAAGGTTGGAAACCTTAAACGAAAGGGTCGCGCTAGAAAGGCGCGTCGAGGGGTTACGAGAAACGTTGGAAGAAAGAGAAGCAGATTACATGAGACAAAACCGACTACTCCTTGATGCTCAAAAGAGAGAACTTGACGACAAGAATCAGCTAATAGTACAGATGAGAGAACAAATGGATAAAGCCCTACGCGAAAGAGACCAAGCCCAAAAAGCCTTCGATCTTGCCCTGCAAGACCTGGACATGAGCCAGGAAGAAGCCAAAAACTTGCATGTCACCATAGCCGCATCTTTGGAGGAACGGCGGCAGTTGGTTGCCGAAATCAACATTAAAGAAGAGCAAATCCGGCAAAGAGATCAGGCTATTGAAGACCTGGAGGGGCAAATAGAACAACAGCAGGAAATAATTAACGACCAGACTCGTCCCGAAGAGGAAAGGGGGGCTGCCCAAAGGGAATCAGAAACCCTTCAGGTACGCCTTGCGAAATTACGAGCGCAAAAGGACAACCTGGAAAAGGAGTTGGGGCTTACCACCAAGGAAAAGGTAAAAAGAGCTCTCATGAAGTATGGCGTTCCGCTGGCATTTGCGGTCGCTATTAGCACCGTAGTAGGAGTAATCTTGTCCGCGCTTAAGGCTACGGGCGCAGGCGTAAAAAAACTGGGTTCTGGTTTGACGAACTTAGGGAAGAAAATGGCAGCCGGCATTCCTGGGCTGTTGGGTTCTGTCGTTTCCTTGGCACTTAGGGCCGGCGGTGAACTGTTGAAGTTCGTGGGCAACAACATTTGGATCTTGGTAGTAGCTATCGGGGTGGTCCTCCTGAAGAAGATGAAGGGCTGATCTTGTCCTTATGTATTACTGGAGGCTTATCGTCGTCAGGCGTCCGAGGCATCCTCGACTGGGGATAAGTAAAGATAGTATTCGCGCCGCCTTGATAATACGGAACTAGCGGCAACACACTCATGGTGCTAATGAGCTTATGATTCCAAGTAGCATCTATAGCAGGAGTTCACACAGCATTTATTCGAACGTTGCCATCAGCCGGAAGAAGTTGCAGCCGAGCATACTTACAATTGACTAACATATGAAAAGTAATTGGCGTTAAGTCTTCACCTGATGCCGTGCAGGGCTCCATTGAAAAATGGGTAACTTTCCTAGCGTTCGTCGAAGTTCGATAAGGAAGCAGGGGCTCGTCATTCTCGTCAATAAGTCTAAACCCTGCATTCGCACCATTDCCCGTATTAACGCTAATGGTGCAAATGATCAATGCAGCGCCCCCGACTTCAACCCACATGCCGGCGTTTTTCCAATCAGTAGATTCATCATGGTTCTTTCCTCTAAATAGTAAACGTAATGAGTTTCCTTCTGATGTGGATTCATATATGTTACAGCCTAAGCACTGTAAGAGTGCTAATGGTCATATGGTTATAAGCCTTGTCTCTTTGATCCTCTATGCTATTTACCGTAACCTCTCCCGTATCGTCTACTCTTATCTGTAGCTTTACCTTCCCATGGCAATCGGCGGCCATGTGAAAAGTCCAAACCGATAGATTTTCGACGCTATTCATTGGCGGCTCTACGGAGAAATGTACAGGCTCCCTGTTGTTCGTCTTAGCTCTCATAGGCTGCAGTATGCCATTGTCATCCAGGAACCTGAAGCCCACGTTGGCATGGCTGCTCGTGCCAATGCAAAGGCTGCATATTATCAGCTTCTTCCCAGAGTAGTTCAAGTCCACAGACATTCCGGTGACGTCCACCCAAGATGCTTGGGTGTATTTTTTCTCGCCTGTGTAAGTCGTATAAACGCAATCTACTCCAGCTACGTAGGGGTTGTTCATCGCCATATATAATAACTTAGACCAATGCTTGCGGTGGCTAGGCCAGCTTTTAGTAAGTTATGGTCATATCCCTCAGGTATCGTAGGCATAACGCGGACCTTCTTTGATGGTTTCTCTACATGTACCTTCTTTGGCTTCTCTACGAAGTGAGGAATGCCCTTGGCCATGTCAGAGTTCACGTCATTCACTCCAAACTTCATATCCTTAGTAGCTCGCTGCAGCTTGTTGTTGTAACCCACAACGGAATTAATATTAATAACCAAATTACTTGGCATTAGCCAACAACCCGGCGACAAAGCGTAATCTAACCGCACCTTAGAATCCTGTATTGCTTTTTGGTACCTTTGCACTGACTTGGATATATCATTCTCTATTACTGCGGACTCAAATAAAGTTAGGAATTCCTGTTGCGTGTCCTGTGAAGCACCTTGGGATCCAACAATGGGGCTGCGGGTATTTACCTGCGCTCCTAAGATGCAGTACACAAATGCCTCTATGCTGCGGTTAATTCAAGCTAGGTTACTTAGGCCTTTTTCTTTTAATAGTACGAATGGATCCCATGGACTTGGGTAAATCGTTTTCACTTTATCAATGAGATTAAGGTCTTGCGTATTACCACCTAAGTCTGCAAACTCTAATGTACCTGGGTATTTTTGATGATACATGTCTGCAGGACGTATGCCATCTGGATGGTAAAGATAAATAATACCTAAACCATGCGTGGCACCCTCTCGATAACGAAAGTCTCTCCTTTGCGACTTAAACTCATTCATTAGCCTTTCTAAGGCAGCGGAATCGTAGTGGTTATTCATTCCATCAAAAGGCTTATCCCCCGGCAATGGTACGTTAAGCTCCTTTAATAGACGACGCATAGTAAAAGCCACATGGAACCTTAGGAAAGCAGTGTCAAACATGTTCACGGCAACGCCGCAGCCCTTCGTAGCCGCCCAAATTACAAAGTTAAGCTGCTGCGTCTAATACCTAAAGTTAGGTCCTTTTAGCCATTCCCTGGCTTCTTTCCCGGAAGTGTGCGTAAGGTGAAAATCCTTAAAAAGATATTCCTTACTACTACTTCAAACGTTTGCTTACCCACTGGAATTTTCAAATGGGTCACTATTTTGTCAAAGTCGTTTACACCACCTTCAGCATCGTAAAATGGGTAATCCTGATTGGTTACTAATAGATTCTTTGGAAAATTAGGCTGTTTGCTTACCTTTCGCCTTTCTTTATGCACGGGTTTTGGTTTAACATAACCGGGCGGTAAGATCTTAGGATGCTTTGGCGCGGGTTTCAAATCGTCATACACCTCATTAGGTTCTTGACGATGCTCAAACATCTTTTCAAGATCTCCCCGATTTAAGTAGTCCCCATAATGTGGTTGCTCATCAAAGTCATTTCCAAAAGCGTCGTACATTAGTATATATAATGGATGTTATACCATCGGCACCTAAGTTGTACCCAGATCTTCCCTATACTACACCTAACGAAATGAACGCAGAGAATTTCAGACTTAACAAAGCGAACTTAAAACTGGCTTACTTGGAAGGGCAGACAAAACACTACGAAAAAGTTAGGAAGAAATACGTTAGAGCCCGGAGTACGCTACATAAGATTGCGATAACTTCAGGATCCATATCCGTAGTGTTAACGGGCTCCGGCGTTGCTACTTCGCTTGCTGGGCCGGGAATAATTGTTGGGGTTCCTTTGGCCGGCGTTGGGGCAGCCTGTGGCATTATTTCTGCTGTTGCTACGGGTATTATGAAAAAGCTATCTACGAAAATATCAAAACACGACACGACAATAGCTCTGTCAAGGGCTAAAGTAAATACTATTACCGACCTTGTCTCAAAGGCATTGCGTGACAGAAAGATAGACGACGTAGAATTCTCGATCATTCTGGCCGAAGAGGAAAAGTACGAGAAACTAAAGACGGACATAAGAAACAAAAAAACAGTCGTAAAAGATCTTTCCGAGGAATCTCGCAAAAAGATCTACCAAGAAGCAAAAGAGGAGCTTTAAAGAAAGCTCGCTCAATAAATATTTGCTTTGAAAAAAGCGAGACAGAATTTTGTTTGCATATTGAACGCCGACTGTCTGGGTCATATGCAAATTAAATATAATAATTTTCACATACTTAAGCGTCCTGTGTGTCTGGCGTTCGCTTGTGTTCCTGGACTTTGAATCTGGGGAGGCCCAGAGTCCCCGAGTTCGAGCCTCGCTGCAGACACATTTGGACCGGTTGCCGTGAGTGGAAAAAAAAAAGCCTCCCCCACTCACAGCAACCGTGGGAGGGGTGGGAAAGGAAAAATAGAAAGTGCGATTCAACCCCGCGACGGGGGGTTTCGCGAGGAAAAGTTGGAAAAGTCAGGGGGTGTCTCGGGACGCCGTCCGGAGTTCACCCCCTGGGGGGTCGTAAGAACGATGTATGTGCGTACTAGAGGGCCTCTGGCGCGGGATGAAATAAACCCCGTAAGCCCAAATGCCAGTTTTACATTTTCATTTTCTCGGAATCCATCCTAACAGGGGGTGGTTGCGGTCTATTTTGTAAAATATTTCGTAAATTACGTCAGGGTAATAAGGAATATCCTTATCCAACCGACAAAACATCCACTCAGCCCTTGTCATATCAGGAACCTCGGGAATAGAGTCACCGCTAATTTCAGACAAAAGGTAGGGAATACCTTTGTAATATTTCCCTACTTTTAATTTTTTCAATGTCTTCCTTAAACCTTGTGGCGTTGGTTCTTTTAAGTCAAGCGCAATCATTTCCATTACTTCGTTGTCAAGGTACACGGGGCGATAACCTTGGATGTGACTTATCCAGTCCCTAAAGTATTTTATTCTCTTATAAGGTGTTTTCTTACGGCCTCCATTGGCGTAATATTGCTCTCTGGTAGCATTTGGTACGGCATTAAGGATATTTTTGCCGCATTCGTAACACTGTGCTGACGTATCCTCTTCTATTCGCATTTTTTTACCACAACAAATATACTTATTTGGCTTGGTGGGCTTAAACTTGGGTTTCAAGCACTTTACACAAAAGTCGTAAATTGGACAGAATTCTTTACACTCTTCGCACTCCATATATAGACTAACATATTTAAACCTGTTTCAGTGGGATGCGGGTAATTCCGGACTAAATCAAGGAGGGTACTTTAGACGGGTAATCCTCCGGTGGTCGTTGTTTTAGAACCCCCATCCCCTATACTACTTAGGGAGGTGAGCAGCAGGTAGGGGAACTCGCGATTACTGTCGGGAATCATATGGGTATACCCCGCCCTCACGTAAAGGTGGCCGCATCGGGAACAACCCGTAAGGTTGCTATAGGTATTATCCACGTAATTCAATTTGAAAAACTCTCTACGGGTTTTATTGGTGCCCCTGCGTTACTAAGTTAAAATATTTCTTAGATATACGATGCATGAATGTAAAGAGTTTATCCACAATTTCTGTATAATTTGTCTAAGACCCAAAGTTATCATACCCAAACCCAAGGGTTTCTGGTGTTGTGGTAAAAAGATGCAAATAGAAGATGACACGTCATCACAGTGTTTCGAGTGTGGTAAGAACATTCGTAATGCCGTGCCAAATGCTACCAGAGAGCAATATTACGCTAATGGAGGTCGTAAGAAGACCCCATACAAAAGAATAAAATACTTTAGGGACTGGATGAGTCATATCCAAGGTTTACACCCGGTATATTTAGACAACGAAGTAAAGAAGAAAATCATAGACCACTTAGAAGAGCCAACCGCACAAAGTCTACGGAAGACATTGAAAAAAATAAAGCTAGGGAAATATTACAAGGCTATTCCCTACCTTTTGTCTGAAATTACCGGTAAGTCTATTCCCGAGGTTTCTGATATGACAAAAGCCGAGTGAATGTTTTGTCGGTTGGATAAGGATATTCCTTATTACCCTGACGTAATTTACGAAATATTTTACAAAATAGATCCCAATCATCCACTGTTAGCATGGATACCAAGGAGATGACCGGCGCTCAATATGTAAGTAAAAGCCCGCTGCACTCTTTTCAAAGCAGATGCTCACTGAGCTAGCTTTCTTTGGAGCTCTTCTTTTACTTCCTGGTAGATCTTTTTGCGAGATTCCTCGGAAAGATCT